TTTAATTTCTAATAAAAGATAAATCCTTAATATAACCTTATATATATAAAATAAAAGAAAAAAAGAAAAAAAGGCATATTAGAAACCTAAAATGTCTATTATTAAAAATAAAAAAATACAAATAAAAAATAATAAAAACTCTATAAAAATAAATTAAAAAAATGCCTTTATAAAAAAAAAAAATAAGGACTAAAAAAAAAAAAAAACAATTAGAAAATGAAAAACCTGAAAAAAAAAAAAAAAAAAAGAAAGCAAATTAGGTTACAAGTACATTTATTATCTATATCATCACATATATTATTATTATATTTTTTCCAATTTTCAATTTCGATAATATTGACATCTTCATTAAATTATATTTTTTATTTTTTTATAATTCTATCTATTTAATTACCAAATTTATCAAATCTTTAATTTTTGTTCATATTTTACTATTTTATGCATTATCTTTATAAAATACTTTGTATTTCTTTCTTTTCTTCTTTAAGTTTTAAATTAAATAAAGTATTATCATTTAATTCAGGATTAAATTAAGATTTTTAACTGGATCTTTTTATATTTTATATTATATCTACTTTTTAAAAAAATTATATTTATTTATTAGGAAGTGATTGAATATTCTTTTAATTTTAATCTTAACTTATATCAGAATTCTTAAATTAGCTTAATTGAGGTTTGTATCTGTGTTATAAAGCATCTTCAATACTTAAAAATTTAGTTTGAGGAAAAACTTTCTTTTATTTCATATTTTTTTTTTTTATATATATTTATATTATTTATTAATAAACAATATAATTATTCTTAAATATTTAAAATTATTTTTATTTTTATATATCCTTATAAAAAAATAATATATAAATAATTTTTTTTTTTTTCGATTGAAAATATAATAATATTGATTTAATAGGTTTTTGAATAACAATTAAATCTAATATCTTATTATAGTGGATTAATTTATAACAATAAATAATATTATTTTATTAGAAAGTTCTTAATTAATATACAAAGATAAAATATATTAGTTTGTAAATTTCTATAGTTAATAAATTATATAGTTATATATGCTTTGACAAATTAAAAATATATAAAAGATATATAAATAATAAAGGTGAAAAATAAATAAATTAATAAAGAATAATGATTTTATTTTAATATAAAATAATTTTTTCATAATATTAATAATAAAATATACTATTTTAATTGGAAATTTATATTATTATAAACAAAAGAAAAAATATATATTTTTATAAGATAAATTTATAAAAATATATCAAAAAAATAACTTTTATTGTAAAAAGAATAAATAATCTATACATATTATTAAAATAATTAATTTTAAATAATAAGATATTAATGCCTTTTTAAATTAATTTTATATAAAATCTATTATTAATTAAATATAAATAAAAAATAATTATTAGTATTTATTGATATTTAAAATAAAAAATAATTTAATTAAAAAAATAATTTATATATATATGAAAAATAAACAGTAATAGTAATTATAATAATAAAATTAAATAAAAAAATATATATATTCATATATATATTTTTATAAAAAAAAAAAATTATTAATATATATAAATATATATATATATAATAATAAAAAAAATATTTAGAATGTGAAAAATATTAATTATAAAAAAAAAAATATAAAATATTAAAGTGTTTAAATAAAAAACAAACAATATGGATTATAAAGTAAAAAATTTAATTAAACAAATTTTAAACACGAATATATTTAATATTAATATTAAGATAATATAAATTAAAAATAATTTAAAAAATTATGAAAAAAATTTTATATAAAATTATATATATATATATATTTATAAATATATATATATATATATTATATATAATTATATTTATTACATATATATTTTTCTTATGTTTTTATTTTTTATATATAATTATTTATTTATATTATTTTTATACTTTTAGATTTTTATAATTTATCTCATGATTCCTTATATATTATTCATTTTATAATAATATTTTTTGAAATTTTGTTAATTTTTTTTTTATAATTATAAAAAATATCTAAATATGTTTAATTACAATTAATATTACATTCGCAATTTAATTCAATTTATTTTTATTTTTTTATTTTTTTATATTTTTTATAATATAATTTTTTTATATTTTTATAATATTATTGGCAATTATGTTATGTTACCAAGTTTTTTAACTTTACTTAATGACTAGAAAGTCCTCTGTAAGATTTATAGAAATTAATTTCTTTAAAATACTTATTTTCCTTTTTATATATATAGGTTTTATATCCTTAAATATTTTTTTATACATTTTATACTTATTTTCCTCTTTATTTTATATTTTGAAAGCCAGTTAATTAAAGAATTTTCAAAGCCTCCTAAATGAAGAAAATTTTTTTAAGATTAATGGATTTTAAATTTCATTTTTTGTAAAGCGAAACTTAAATTCGTGTATTGATATTTTAAATAAAATGAAAAGAATATGAAATTAATTGGTTTTTTAATATATACGGCGGAAAATGATTTAATAAAAGCAATATTATACTTTAATACTTAAGCAAGTAAATTGAGTACCATAATAGAATATTTTCTATATTAATAAAGTTAATAATATATCACCTATAATCGGAATAACAGCCTTTTATATTACTGAGGTTTTTAAAATAATTCTTAATCTGTAAATTTTTAGTTGTTATATTTTTCTAAATAGGATATAAATTAATATTTCTATACTTAATAATTAGATTTTGTTTTGAACTTATTCTTGTTATATTTTTATTATATTTACCTAAAATTTAACAATTTTTTTATTAAGGAAGACCATATATTTAATTGTAGTTTGCTATTCCGGTTATAGCTTTTTCAATTTAATTATTCTTGAGGAAATATTAACTTTAGTGTACATTTTTTTATCATATATTTATATATAATTATCTCATGATTTGTTTTGTTTTTTTTTCTTAAAAATATATATAATAATAAAAAAGCTTTATATGTATATAATTAAAAACTAAAAATTAATTGATTAAAAAATATCTGTTAAAAATAAAAAAAAAAAAAACGAATTATTAAATACTATTTAAATTTTCCCGAAAAAAAAAAAAAAATGATAATAAACACAAATGAAATTTGTCCAAAATGCGGAAATAATTCACCATGTAATAAAATATGTCTAAATTAAAACTGCGGAGACCAATATCTACAATTAATATGTAATTTTTGTCATTAAGAGGCCCATTTTGTGGCTCGAAATGACTTTCCAGATGTTGATTTAGACATATTAATATATGATTTCCAGACATAAATAAACAAAATAGAAGAAATAGATAAAAAGTAATACTTATACGTATTAAAACAAATAGACTACGGTATTTAAAAAATGAAGGAAATAATAAAAATATAGAACTTTAATTAATAAAAATTAATCGAATTAAAAGATGAATTACTTGGTCCATGCTAACGTACTCGTAAATTAATATAAGAAATTCAATAAGAAGGATATTCTATAGAAGATGTAAGCGGAAACATAAAAAAAATACTAAATATTGCAACTTATGATAAAAGAATAGTGAATTGGAACTAAGATTTTTCCATGTAAAAAGTACTATAGGATGCCAAATAGATAAACGTGAAATCTAATTTAGTAATGAAAATATTCCTTTAAGATTTGGAAAAAAATAAACTAAAATAAATACAAGAAGAACTATAAATGAAATCATAATATTAATGTTAATCTTAGTATATATAAATTGATACAGGGAAAGATATTTTAAAGCAAGAATGTTTAAATTAATGCAATTTATTTCTTTAATAATACGGAATATCATGGAGATGGACAAAATACGAAGAAATATAAGTTAAAATGTACGAATATGAGGAATATAGGAACACTTTTTTCAAAGATTTGGCCGAAAACAATTGTTGTTGCTCAAACGAGCCTATATATAGTGTAGATATAATTACTTTTTTCAAAAGCGACTTTTAATAAAATTATGATAATACATATGATTGTTTTTTATGTGGGAAATGGAGAAGAAGTAATATGTTTGGAGGAGTTAGTTATCTATGTAAAATAGCTAATTTAATATATAATTGCTTTTGTTTTCCACTTATTGAAATTATTTATAAAGGATGTCATTTTTTAGTTAAATCATAAGATTAAGAATTCGAATGTGGAGATGGAAAGTGGTTAGGCAAAAAAAAAGGAAAAGAGCTTTATGAATATTTTAAATAAATGTAATAAAAAATTGAGGATATGTGAATAAATTATAAATATATATATATATATATATATATATATATATATAT